AATGTTTTTTCCCACACAACAAATTCATAAATATTATAAATTTAATAGCCCAGGATTCTTCTGTTCTTGCTACTTATGTGGAGTATTGTACAAGCGTATTAGACCACTATTTGAATAGTGCAGCTATGTCTAGATCAGAGCAGTCTAACGCACTTCGAACCTGGCGGTCGTCAAGGCGGTCTGAATACCGTGAAATGTAACGTGTATCTGAAAGCTATGGGAAGTTGCACTGATTCAGAGATAAATCACAGAGCCTGAGGGATGAAAATCTTAAGATACGGAGGTAGAACAGCAAACCGGAATCGATATCAATGGAAAAGTAGCTCAGTAGAAAACCGTTCACTTCATTCGAAGTAGACGTCGTTGAGGCAGTTTTAACGCTTCTTGCAATATCTCCCACAACAGCCAAAAGGTATCCGGACTGATGATTCCCATCGCTTCGGGATATCATATTTTCGTCTGCCAACACTGTGGTCCAATACAACACGATATTCTGAGGAAATTTTCCCTATTGTTTCCTACTGGTCTGGCGGATGACGTATAAAACTTGAAGTTTACCCTCTACCTGCTCCGTTACTTGGAGTGAGCAGGGAAGTATTCAGGGTACATAGCTACAAAAGTAAACGTCGTTACCAAGTAGCCATCGGAATCGCTTACGCCATGCAAATGGATCACATAGAGATATATCCGTTGACAGGATGTCACTGCGGCCTGCAGGCCAAGTTGTTGATGTGACGCACATATTTCGTATCTACTGCTTGAATGATCTGCATCAACCTCAAAGTTTCGTCTCTCAGATTACTGTGGTGCAGAACTCAGCGAGTTAACACTGATCTCATCCCTAAGATGCTCTGTTCCATCACTTCGGGTGTAGCTTCCCCCAGCTCAACGGAAAGTGTAACTACAACATCACACTTGCTAAAAACATGCATAACCAGTTTGGGAGTAAATTTTTCACGAGGCAAATTATGAGCAAATCACACACCACCTCCACATGTGAGTATTTAGTCAGGTCAGGTACAAATTCACGAGAAAAGGGAGCTGGTACACGCATGTCATGTTCCCACACTGGACACCATGAACTGAAGACACGTTTTGGAATGGATACTCACCACAAAAGTGGGCTATTGTCTTCAAGCCATTCATATTTAAGCGCTTAAAAACTTCAGATTAGAGTGTGATGTGGTTTTAAGCACCGCTGACATATGCAGTTTGACTTTGTGCAGCCAATGTAAATATAAACTTCCTATCATCAAGCGAATGACGAAGAATTCCAATTCGCCAATGCTCTATACAACCGAAAATTATTCGATTTTCCTTTCCAATTTATATCGCATTTTGGCCTACCTGGTGACTTCGGGCTACGATGTTTTTTCTTGACAAAACTTAAGACAATTTTCTTCAAAGAACAGTCTTTGTTCATAAAATTAGCGCTGTCTAGGTTCACTGTCGGGATTTCTCAGAAGATACAATAAGCTTGAACGAAACAGAAAAGCTATCATCCGCCCCACGCAACGTTATTCACATCCCCTTGCACGCCTCTTTAGCACAAATGTTACATTACTGTTGAAAAAAAATTTGATTACATACATTGGATATCTGTAACTGTAATTGACGCTAACTTTCCAAATCCAGTTCCCCATGTTTGTGGACTTCCGATATCAGGCATGTCTTTCTGTAATCTTTATGCTGCGTTGCAAACAAATTATTTCCCCCAAACGGCGTATGGAATGAGTAATTTGAGTGTAATTTCAATTAGATTTTTCATTTCTTGTAGTATTTTTATAAGTAGTTGGACAAAATAATGACCACCAGTGTCAATCAGGCCATATTTAGCTAGAATGGCAACATGCCAGATACGGATGGTCATGTTTGCGGGATTGGATAAAAACCGTGGTCAGCTGATTGACAGCATGAATAGCTGATTTTGTTTGGTTTAAATACTGCACGAATTGCTCATCTGGTGGCTTAATTGTTACGCAGCTGTACAATAAAGCGATAAGAGATGAAATTTTCCTGATTTGGATGTAATAACCGCCTGTCCATGAGTAAATAGTTTAGTTGTGTATTTCTCCGTTAAATATGCACGCAATTCGTAAATTTGAAGCCAAGATGCTGGACAGCATGAAATAAACATGATTTAACTTACTGGAAAACTTTGTAGGGACTCCTCCATTCCACGCAACTCAAGTGACTTGGAATATTACTAAGGACTAAGTTGTTTTCAGTGAGTTTATTTGTTCAGATTTCCTATTTGTTATGCTTGATGCGCTATAAATGTTTTTTGCACCACTGGTGGCAAATGGCGCAATACATAGGGGAAAGTCGTCTGTGGACTGGATTCACTGTATAGTTCACACAGGCAGACAAAAATGGTATGGTAGGGTGTATGTTAATATTTCAGTGAAAAATCAAGTTTCGAAATATCTGCTATTCATTACTAACGCATTATATATTTTTATTTCGGGGGGATGTATGGTGCACAGTCGATGTGTTGAAGGACACAGATGAGGAATAACCATTACAAATTTTGCAATACGTTTACGGCTATACAGTAAAATAAATAATTTCCTACACATTTCCCTACATCATACTCGATAGTCCTACAAGCACGACTCTAGTTTACATGAAGAGGGTGAAAATACGGCCATGAATTATTGGTACTCATGATCTCGGACAGTGACCACTTGTACGAAACGGATCACATATAATGCCAGCGGTTAGACACTTCTGTTAAATTTCCAAAGGATGGAATGAGAACACAGAATCACAATGCAGAATATCAGATGCCGAGCACAAGTGAGGCTGAAACACGTGGATAATCAACAAGCTTTTGCTGTTTACTGACAGCATATAAAACTAGATTTAGATCCTGGTATGGAGCCCGCCGGGGTAACCAGAGCTACAGCAGTCGAGTGGGTAGAGCTGCTGCATAGGAATCCACCAAAGACCTGGAACCGTTCCGCAGGACCTAAAAGCAAGCGCGAGGAAATCAGGTGGTTTTCGCTAGCTTGTAAAAAGATATTGGATGACAAAGCTTGGAATTAGTCACACAATGTCAAGCAGCATGTTTGGGTCTGTGTCACTGAAAACAAATTCACAGAAATAAATGATGCTAAAGCTGTAACTCGGTCCAGAGACTGTTCTGATATTGTGGCCCACGAAGCGTAAGGTTCCATCATTGGACGAATCAATATGTCTTCATATGAGGTCAGTTTTGATGCTCCTCACTACGAGGTGGGTGTCTGTTATTAGTCGGAGGACCTGCATGTTTGGATGCATGAAGCATTTAATGCCAACAATTCAAGATGCAGTCCCAATTAAGGCCATAAATTTTGGATGAACTGTCAAATTAATCATTATGCTGCGGTCTCATTGTGAATCTGTTTATGAGAAAGAAGAAGAAACGTGTGTATGGAACTATTTACCGTGTACCTAAGTCAATGAGCAACAAGATATGAACAGAAAAATCAAGAAAGAGAAATCAGGTGTGGATTTAAGAGTTGTTGATAGAAAATTATGTCTTTTCAGTAATAAACTATGCTGACTTTTAATGTATGGTAAACACAAAGTATGCTAGCGAAACTATTTGTCCGAACGGCGCAGCATATCAGTCGGCATGTCTAATGCAGAATTTAATAGACCAGGAATAAGTGGTCGTCATACATACGGATGTATACAGAGGTTTCTAAGTAGGAAGAAAGTTTTGGCATGAAGAAGCGAACTAATGGGAGTCTTAACGTCTAGAAAATAAGACAATTTTATGTATAGACGTTTGCGGGGAACTCTGAGGACAGAATTACCAGTAATACAACTAAGTACATTTGGACGTTGTTTGGAGTCAGGCGAGTATGCTGTTCACCATATGGTATACCTTACTACAATGATACCGGTTATACAACGGAGAGGAAACTGCCTGGTCCACCGAGTTCTCATTTCCAAATTTAAAGCTATTTAACTCATTGAATAAAACTTAGAAGTCCCTCCCATATATATTCTTATGACGTCACTGAGAGCCATAAGTCGTCCGATCATGATCATGAGCAAGCCATTGGCAGAAGGTGAAGAAGAGCTGGCTTAAGAGGTCGACGATGTGGTATGGAATCTGGATGACCGCAATGTTTGAAGGGAATGCAATTGTCTTAATGAAATATGCTTCTCGTGATCAATGCGAAAGCCTAATTTCTTTTTGCCGACAATACTACCTTCTGATTGGCTGCTTAATTATGAAGATGTATGTATGGCACCTCGGATAGAGTGACGTATCTGGTCGAAAACTTCGGGTAAACTTATGGAATGGTAGAATATTCTGTCGAAAACTTAGGGAACCACAGAATAATCTGCAATAAATTTTTGGGATACCTAGAGAACTATGGAATGGTCTCAAAATTACTTCGGGCTAACTTAAGGAACTGAAGAAAATTCCGCAAAATACTTCTGGAACTGCGGCGAAAGTGTTGCGTCGCCCAAAGCTCTTAGCTGAAGTTAGCCCTGAGTGTATGCCAGCTAGGTTGTGATGTGCGAATGACAACGGTACTTAGTAGTTATGTTATTCAGACCAATTAACACCACTCTTCGGCCTTAAAATTCTTAAAACACCATAAAATGCACGGAAACTGTAGTCAGACAGTCCCCCAATTCTAGTAGGATCAAATACAACCGAACTTATGCCGTTATCGCTAAAAGAAAACAGACCTTTATCCATCGGTAGCGTACTCGGCAAGTGGCCTAGAAGCGCATCAGTACCTTACATGCGTTGTATGGCCTCTATTCATTGACTATGTTTGGTGCTTTTCACGTGCATTTTGTTAGCTCCTGCCGGTTAGGACAAAACCTGTGGCATTCCGGTCAAATAGAGTCGATATCTGCCCATATATCTGTTCACGTTCGAACTATGACAGTGGTAAATACACGGCTTGCATAGAAATTACAGCCTTTGATAGTTGAAAGACAGCGTGGAACACAATCAGCCCTTAGGTTACGTTGATCTCTTGCGTTACCTTTGTTGTAGAATTGCGAGATGTCGGTGAAACTCGAGGACCGTCCAACATCTGATTCCCTGTCACAAACTTCAGCTAGCTGCCATATGTTGCAGCAAAACGTTCAGAAATCCGATGGTGAACAAAGAAGTGCTGATATGCAATCATTTGCTTCGGTAGCCGTTGGAACTGTCAGTGACTCATGTGAAAATAAGACAAATGTCGTTGGGATTAGTTTAGATTCTCGAAGGAGGACTATGATCAAGACAGTAAGTTTGTCTCCAAGACATCAAAAGCTTGTAGAACAAACTTTCCACCATGCCTGTCTTTTATAGTGCCTATGAAAGGCACAGTACCTTGTCATTTCCAAATAACAGTAACTTTGTTCTGCTTGACTAGACTTGCCTAAGGCCGTATGAAAGGGTCCGACTAAATTCGAAGCGACACAAGAGAGATGCACGATGATCACCTTATATGATAACTTGCAAAAGAAATGGACGTTCAGAAACCTATACCTACTGACAAGCACTGGAAAGTTTAACCACAAAAAGTGAAATATATGTAAACGCAGTGTAAGCTGCAAATATATGAAGGATTTAGTTTAATTCCGGTGGATTGTCAAGAAAACTTGTAAGCATTTGCCTGTCAGAACACAGAGTGCCGAAGGTGTCACTCCTCACCACGTTGCAAACCTTCAGGGTTCAAATCATGGGGCATATCCGGTTTATCAGTGGTAATTGACGTGGCTTTTTCTACCTCTGCTTCAGCCTGAATTGGTCGTTAATCTTCACACTTTTATAACCGATGACAGAAATGCTCTGCATTGTAACCTTGTTACTGCTGACGTGAATGAGCGATGTAAAATAGTCTTCCTTCGACTACGAAGTATAGGCAAAGTACAGGAGTTGCAAAACCAGAGGCTTGTGGGGCTGCTAGGTGTGTTACTGTTACGTAACGCCTCACCAACCTCACTCAACTTGATGTGCTCTAGTACCTGCTTAATCAGTACCCTACCTAACGTGTGAGTACTGACAACGAAACACAAATCAAAAGAACTTGTTTCAGGAATATATTCGAAGAAGCAATATATTTAAATGGAATGTATGTTATGGTGATTATAAGGGCAAACGTTTACCCAACTTGTCTGGCTAGTGTGATTGAACTAGGGACTCCGAGTGTGTGCGCGCTAACCAACACAAAGGGAGCGCAAAATGGTGTCGAAGCCTGCTCGTCAAAACAAAACGCAAACCACGTTAAGTATCCAGAGGTGAGCTGGAGGTTTAATTAGTTGATTTAATTTAATTTATTTTTTGGCTCTAGTTGCATTTTGGTGGTACATTTCAATATAATCCCAACGTGTATTTATTTAGCTCAAAAACATGCTCTAGCTTGTTGAAAGAACTTGCCATTAGCTGTCGAAAGGCTCAGGAACGAAATGCATGAAAGCAATTCCTCAAATTACCCCAAAGACTGAAAAAGTAAGGGCGAGCTCGGTCCACCTATAACTTACAAAGAACAATTCAACAATCTGGGAATGGAAATGGCAGATGACGAGTACACATAGGACTACGTAAGTTTCAAAACGAACTTAATTACTTTGCGATTTCCCGCCACTTTGAAGCTACTTACTGGAGGCATGAAAATACGCATAAAGCGCTTGCTGCAATATTCATTCGAAGAGTGCTTCATGAAAAGCTTATCTTGGAATTCAATGAAAACTAGGATAGGCATACAAAACACATACATGGAGTCAAGCAAGAGAAGTTACTAGTAAACAAACAGTTAAATATTTATCCCACTTGCAGGAGCTTTAAGGCGATTCTGCCAAACATAACAAGGTACTGGAGACGAAACGTCATACCGGGCGAATGAAGACAAGAATTCGACACAAAGTTTTGCAGGCCTTTCATTTATAACCTTTTAATAGGTTTATGACAAGCAACTGGGAACCCTGCCAGCTGGTGACGTATGGGACGGGTGTTGTGTTAGTGTGTGTTTTAGATACAGAAAGTGATCACCCTCTCTAAACAATCTATTCATTCTTCCTCCACTTTTTTTTCACAGAAAGGGTAATTTTAGTAATAAAAAACACTGAGCCAAAGGTTGGGTAGTTATAGGAAACGTCGTGGAATCGTCAAAAAAGCTTGGGCTAGATGTAGGGCCACAACAAGAAATGTTGGGCCATCGTTGCTTCCCAGTTCAAGGGTATGATCTGGACCACCATATCTTCTTTTCATCCTTGCAATTCATGAACTGCGAAACTGAAAGTTCCTCTTGATCATTTTCTACCCTATAGGCGAACAAGACTGGATCTACTGTTGAGTTGTTATGCGTAAAAACTGCGGCCATGTTCTGATTTCGGCAGGAACGTTGGGTAGTTTATAAAATCTTGGAGACAGACGTAAGAGTAAATACACCAAAAACAAGCCCAAAAAGCATCAAGCCAGACTTGGAGAAAATGTTGCAATACCCACGTCAGGATCTGCATTTGTCTAGGGTTTTCTGTATTGAGTGGCCCAACATTGACTTAGTCAACCCCACGAAACTTTTGACTAAGTTACCAGTCAATCAAGAGACACCACTAAACTCTCCGTCTATATTACAATTCTGAGGCATTATAGTGTGCAATAAGATTTCCAGATCTTCATGAGAAGCCGTAAATCCTTGAAGCTTTTTGTAACCGTTAGCTTTGCTTCCAAGTTTTGGGAAATATAATGCACATCAGATAACGTGTAAATACTTGATTAATGAAAGAAACGGAAGTCAATAGGACATACCATTATTGAACGGCCTAGAAATAGCCAAGGACATATATGCGTATAAACCGTTGTATGTCGCAAATATTTTGACGCTGTAATATACTTCCTGGCATCTTGCCGCCTTTTTCGTTTACCTAGGAACTGTACTACCATCAAGGGTGGAATCTGAAGGCTATCGTTCACATATCTACTTTCTTATGTAAATATATACCTATAAAAGCTGGTTTGTTTTCATGTTACCTATACTGTATGAAATATATATTATCATTACTATAACATCAAAAACAGAGACCATAGGGGAAGGCCACTTCAACTGTCCTGGTGATAGCTAACCTGACAAACAAGACTGGCGACAGGAGCCAAACCTCTTCTCTTTGTCGCATAGTAAACAGAGGGTAGGATTAATTATGATTTACAAAATTTGAGAAATAGAATAGATTATTACATCTCTTCTCCTCACCAGATTGGAACACCTCAAAGGAAATAGCTGGAGAGTAAAGAAGCACGAGATGAAAGTCATCCCCATAGGGTACTGGTTTTCGCACCAAACAACCAACTCTCGGAAGCGACTCCTAGAAGAGATGTTATCTGAGCCATCACTTGTCTCACTAAAAATATGACTTGATGAATTCAGAGATCTGCCGAAAAAGGAATGAAATATGCTAATACCCTTCCGTTCTCATACCCAAAATCGTAATCTGAGTTCGGTGCTCTTTTTGCAGTTATATCCTTATCGATTCCCGATCGACATTTTAATGCACGTGATTTCAACTCTATAATGCTGTCACAAAAATTGCTAGCTTTTTAACTTTTCTATGTACCACAACATATTAAATGCTGAAAAATGATTTTACTATGTATAAACCTTAAACAAGCCCAGGTACCAAACTCAGACCAGCTCACCCTAAGAATTGATCTCGAGCTTGACTAACACAGGGGCCAGTCTCCAATAATTCACTTCAAAAATTCTCGACCTAACATGTAATATAAGAGGTCTGAGACTCTCGTGAGTGTCTTAGCCAGTAGTGAACCCTCCAAGCACCAAAATGCAACTAGAGCCAAAAAATAAATTAAATTAAATCAACTAATTAAACCTCCAGCTCACCTCTGGATACTTAACGTGGTTTGCGTTTTGTTTTGACGAGCAGGCTTCGACACCATTTTGCGCTCCCTTTGTGTTGGTTAGCGCGCACACACTCGGAGTCCCTAGTTCAATCACACTAGCCAGACAAGTTGGGTAAACGTTTGCCCTTATAATCACCATAACATACATTCCATTTAAATATATTGCTTCTTCGAATATATTCCTGAAACATGTTCTTTTGATTTGTGTTTCGTTGTCAGTACTCTTACGTTAGGTAGGGTACTGATTAAGCAGGTACTAGAGCACATCAAGTTGAGTGAGGTTGGTGAGGCGTTACGTAATGTTGATACAACCAACACACTCTACATATGTATGGCATAGGTATGCTGCTGAAAGAGTTATACACAGGCAGTTGAGGTCCATGTCTTCCATAGCAGCAAGTACGAGGATTGTCCTAAATGCTTTTTACTTACTGACATCACGCATAGTTTGAACCTGTCTAGACATAATAATAATAATAATAATAATAATAATAATAATAATAATAATAATAATAATAATAGTAATAATTATAATGTGAAACGAAGTTAATTTTAGAGAAAAACCAGAGACAACTTGACTGGAGAGTAATCAGTGTTCAAGATATTACCACTAATACTATTATTATCATTACTACTAGTTAACCACCATGCAAATATGTCACTGCCGTGATCAGCTAATAAGGCATCTGAATGTATTTCAAATTTATTTCTGTCATGTCAAGCTGTCTCGGATTCTTCCCTGTTAAAAGTTTAGTTGGTTTCACACCGCTATGATTACTATGTTTACATGGATTCAAACTCAACATGAAAGCAGTAGGTGACGATATTCTTATAAGGTCCGCTTGAAATGTTATAACTGCAGTTAAGTCTCCTGAAATTAATGAATAGCACTAGTTTCAAATGCGTCTTGTATACGTTCCCGCTTATTTATGTATATTCTGAAAAATTTAACCTGACTGACAAAAACGTGTATCCATTATCATAAGTACAGAATTAGGGAACTGTGGTTGGCTATAATTCCATATTCGATTAATCCGTTTCACGTAGCACACCGTGATAAAGTACTTTATAATACACACTATCTCATTGCGTGCAGTATCAAATCGAAAATGTAATATGCGACAATTAATTATCACTATTCGTTTGTTTTAAATATGTATCAGGAAACGAATATTTTGAGTTCATAAA